GAAAGAGAAGTTAATAATGGCAACATGACAGAGAATGAATGAGTGAGCAGCAACTGACCAGAGCGAGAAAGGTAAGCGGTGTCGGAAGTGGGGAGATCCGAGCTGCGCTTCAAACTCCAGAAGGACACTGTGAGGACCTCCAGGCACCTCGACCAGCATGTGGTGTCATGGGTAAGCACTGGACTCCTACATGAGTGATCGCGGTTCAAGTACTGGACCCAGAGGCTTGAAACACGCCAGACATGTGTGAGTATGTGCCCAAAATCACAAGAAGAGAATGGGGAAGAAGGATTGTGGCATGGCCATCCCCCCGGGATGGTGATTTCTCCCTTTCTGTCTCTATTTCTCCAGCAAACACACACACCCTATAGCAAAAATCTCTCAAAAAAAGAGAAAAGTCTGTGGTTCTAAGAGGCACAGAGAGCTGGATAAGAGGCCGGTTTTTCTATAATAGAAAGCTGAACATTAAAAATTAAGAGCCAGCAGTATAAGGATGTCAGTTAGAAATATAGGGGTTGGGCTGACTACACAGCATTGTGGTTAAGGTGGCTGGATCTCACATGGCAGAATGAGTGGTTCAAGTCCCAAACCCAGCAGCTTGGAAGTCATGTTGGGTCTGTATCCATATGTGCCCACAATCCTGAGAGGAGATTGGGGGAAAAGGGATTGCAGCATGTTCACCACCACCTCCCCAGGGGGATGATTTCTCACTCTGCCTCCCTCTCTCTTCCCAACGAGCATATACCCTATGGAAATTTAAATAGAAAGGAACAGGAATGAATAAGACCTCTGGTTTTAGTTTTCAATTATTTTGTCATAAATTATTCAATCTAGGGACCAGCAGGTGTTATTGTGGTTGAGGTGTTGGGCTCCCACATGGTCAATCATGGTTCGATTCCCAGACCCAGCAGCTTGCTTTCTCATTTTCTCTCTCTTCTCTGGGTCTCTCTCTAGAGAGAGGACTACAACAAATTTTTAAAAAATTATTTTTCCCTATATCAAATTTTTAAAATGTCTTTAATCTTGATAAAGTTTGAACAGAAGACAAAACATTTTCTTCTACAACAGTATAAATAAAAAAAATACTGAAGTGTAGGTGTTTACAGTGAAATAATACCTTACTCTAGGTATGAACAAAAAGTTCCCCAAAGATATTTTTGTACATTCATAAAACACCATTTGTGGCTTTTCTGCATCTCCTCAGCAGATGGTGCATTTATACGGCCCTATCGCTGGAGCGAAGGCTACTGCGTTGCTGTTGAAAAGCGCACAGGACACAGGGTTTGGCCACTGTCACTTTCAGACCCATGATGCCATCTGGTGGTGAAATACACTCGGAGAAAGGAGAAAAAGGGATGGGGGAGACCCTCTGTGGACCCTTCGAACCCGAGGAGCACCGCCTAGGTGAGCGAGAACAAACGCAGGCTGTGGGTTTCACTATGAGTCACTAAGTGGTTATAGTTTGGGAATGCCGAAAACGTGTATTTCGGTCTGGTTTTCACTTCACTGCGGGAGACAGACTCCGACACTGCCTTCCCTCGGCCACTGCTAAGGCCAGGGGGAAAGCGAGGATGAGGCACGGACCGATGACCTCGGAGAGCCGAAGGGAACTCAGCCTGTCCCCGCTGCCCTGGACAGACAGCACAGGCCCTGCGTGCGCCCTCCGGCTCTCAGAACAAGGGTGATCAGGCCACTCGGCTGACCCCGCTGGAGGCCACAGAGAGGGCCACAGCAGCCCGGGTCAGCCGCTGAAGGACGCCGTGTGGCCGCGCTCACCTGAAAGCCCCGGTGTAGCCGAAGTAGCGCTCCACGCTGTTGGGCAGGCACTTCCCCTCGCCCTTGTCGTCGCCCACGCACAGGGCGCAGAGGCTGGACCCCGGGTCAGACCCGGGTGCACAGCTCTGACTGAAGAACTCGCCTGGCAGAAGGAAGAGGCGTCAGCTCCCTGGCCTGAGACGCACAGCCTTCCCCTCAGGCGACGCAGGTAGGTTGCGGTATTGACCGGGACAGACAGAAGACACTCCTGGTCACAGAGTGACACGTGGCCACAAACCGGGGACCCACAGAAAGCAGGCTGAAGCCATCGACAGGAAACCTGACTGAGGCCGGGGACAGAGCCGTGACTGCACGGGGACCCATTGTCACAGCCACCATGGCCTCCTGCAGCACGACCCCAGGACCCGACTGTCACTTTTCCTCAGTAACAGGGACCTGACTTCTACCTGGGCGTCTGGCCCTTGGTGTCAAGGCCAGACTTGCCAGCTGCCGCACGGCTGGTCCGGGGTGGCGCAGTAGGGCCGGCCAGTACGAGCAGAGCGCTGGCTGTAGCTTCTCGGACACCTTACAGACGGCTGGCCCTGTCCTAGCCCTTCGCCCTCCCTCCCCCTTCTTCACCCCGCACGTGGAATAGAGAGGCAGGGCCTCGCCCTCCAGCGAGCTGTGGGCCATGGGGTGACCTTGGGCATAGAAGCCGCATGGGGGAGAAGCCAGTCGTTTGAAACAAGGTTTCCTGTCACCGTGCTGCCATCACACTAGCTCTGGACAACCGACCTCGGGACTCCACGACCCTGAGCAAAAAACAAACTCGTCTGGTTGAAACCGATCCAGTTTGGGGTTGTTTTCTGTTCCTTGCAGCTGACGCTAATCCGAATTAACCTGTCATGTGACTTAGCCCAAGGAGAGAGGAAATAAGGTGGCCAGAGCCCACTGAGCAGCTGTCACCACCACCAGACCGCTAGCCTCTGCGCTGGAGCTACCCACCTCGGGAAGGGCTGGGGAACCTCCTCCAGGGCCCAGCAGCTGCCCTACACCCCGGAGGCTCCAGCGTGCGCTGTGGCTGAGGGGATGGAGCCCCACTTACTGAAGCAAGTGAACCCCACTCACACTGCAGCAGGCCCCTGCTCTGGCAGACGCCAGCACGAGGGAGTCCTGGGAGTGGAACGCCACTCACAGCAGCAGGTGAACCCCACTCACACTGCAGCAGACCCCTGCTCTGGCAGACGCCAGCACATGAGACAGTCCTGGGGAGCACTGCCACACACCTCCAGGTCCCCGAGCCCCAGCAGGCAGGGCGTAGCTTACGCCCACCAAGGCGAGCATGGGGCGTGGTGGGGAGAGGAGGCCTGAGAAGCAGGTGGGGGGATGCCGAGACCTTCTCTGGGTTTCTTTGCAGGGGTGGGAAGCAGTCAGCTCTGCTTTGCAGCAAAAGTGACCTCCCAGGAGACTATGGGATCCAGGGCCTAGGAGGAACTTAGATCCGGGGGCCCAAGGGTAAAAACCGTCTGTGCTCCCTGGAAGCCACAGTCATTCTTAGGGTGCAGAGAACAGCTGCTGTTGCGGTCTTCTCCCCGGGGTGGGCTGGATGGGACGTGGGATGTGGCGGGCGGCCACCTCCCTGAGCACTTACAACTCCAGGAGGGAGCCCCAGGGAGAACGGGCTTATTCCAAGGGAGGCCCATGGGTCACGGTCTGCCCAGTCTCTGCCCTGAGGTCCTCAGTACCGTGTGCCCACTCCCCCACCACTGCCCCAATTCCCCCCCTGTCCCCCATGACAGCTCTGGGACTCCTTACCGAATCTGCAGGAGTGGGTCTGGTTGAAGAGCAGGCCCATGGGGATGTTCCAGCCTGCGGTCCTGCCCATGGCAGTGTGGCACGACTTCCTGCCCCTCAGAGAGTTCCAGGTGATATCGGCGTCCGACTTCCTGACCACTGCCACAGCAAGGTACCCTGGCCCGACAGGCGACAGAGGGCACGTCTTACCCTCTGGGAGGACTGGCACATGGACCCTGGGCAGCTCTTTGCAGCCCCGGCCAAGATGGGGCATCACCAGGCAAGGATGGTCCCCTCAAATGCTGGCCGTGCCAGGTAGGCCACAAAAGCATGAGCTGCTGCCCAGAGCTCAGGTGACACTGAGGCTGGGCCGGGAATGAGACAGTGGGGAGAGCAGATTCTGCAAGTGACTGCAGGGACTGTCCTTAGCCAGCCACACAATGCCCGAGTGACAAACCAGCATTAGATGGGGGCTACTGAGGATAGACACCGCACAGGACTGTCCCCGACTGCGTACGCCACACCTCACGGAGCATCTGGCAGGGGCGGGGACAGCCACCAGACTAAAACTGGGTAAGCTCAGGAGAGCGTGTTTCCAAGGCGCGCCTGCCGAGAGGGGGTTAATACGGCTGGGGCCCCTCCCCCCCACCACCCCCTGCCACCAACCAAGGCCCCCCCTGCCGAGAGGGGGTTAATACGGCTGCTGCCCTGCCGACCCACAGCACCTGGCAGACACCCACGAGGAGCCGACGCCAGGCCTGCTGAAGCGGAGCGAGCACAGCTGGTGGACAGGGGCGGTGCACAGGGCACTGATCCAGCATGAGACGCTGGTTCGAGGCTGCATCTGCCACAGTGTTACCTTCCGGGGCGAGCGAGACCCCGGGAAGCTGGGGACTTTCTGGACCACTGTTCCCTCGCTGTAGGAGCTGGGGAAGTAACACGCTCCTTCCACACGATCAGGGCACAATGAGGAACGAGACAGCTCTCTGCCCAGTGGGAAGACTGGCAGAACTGTCATGTGATTACTCCTCCATGGACAGCCTGCGCCACTCAGCGCTCATGGCTCTGAGGCTGCATCTCCTTCCGTGAGGTTTCTACGACCCGCCACCTCCTCCTCCAGCAACGAGGACCCGCTGCTGACCCTGACGTCTGGCTCCGGCTCACCTTCCGTCGGTCTGTTCACACAGTCAGGGCCACCGCTTTGCTGGGATTCTGAGGGAACAAAGACACGCAGAACATCACCAAACGCTCAGCTGCAGCGAGCAGTCGACTTCTCCAGCTCAACAGCTCGGGTGAACCCGGGGCCAGCAGGTGGCGTCGCGGTTATGTCGCTGGACTCCCAAACGGCCGAGACGCGGTGTCTTGAAACTCAGGCTGGGAGCGTGCGAGTGTGTGCCCAAGATCTCAGGAGGAGAAGGGACTGCAGTGTGGCCATCCCCCCAGGGTGATTTCTTATTTTCCCTCTCACTGTCTCTGTCTCTCTCTCTTTGGCAAGCACACACTTCGTACAGCAGAAACCTCTAAAACACACACACACACACACACACACACAGAGGTAAATGGAAGAGAACACCCCAGCATGTGCACCTGGCACATGTGTGTTCACTAAAACCACGGGCATGGCTGTCCACGGCGGCACCAGTCACAGTCGCCACCAGCTGGAAGCCACTCGAAGCCCGTCTGTAGTCAAGGGCATAGGGAGTGAGGGTGGAGTCACACAGTAGGACACAGCGCATTGATAAGAAGGCATCGTCTACACTGCACGCTTACACGGGTATCAGACATAACGCTGAGCTGGGGAAGCCAGCATAAACAACACGTGCTCTGGGACCCTCGTGCGTGGAATCCAGGAACAATGGGTCTGTGCCCCCTGAGGCCAGGAGACCATCGCCCTTGCAGGAGGGAGAGGGGGGCACAGGAGGACATGGGGACACGGGACTCGATCTGGGCCAGTGCACAGCTGTGTAGGGTGTGAGGTGTCGCTGAGTTGTACACCTGTGCCACCCTCCTGGGTGCATGCTATCCGTGGGTCCAATGCATTCTAAAATTAACAGGGACCCAGCCAGTGACAGGGCGGTGACAACGCTCTGTGATGCTGGGGCCACATGGGCAGCCCCGTCTGTGTCCCCCGGGTCCATGCTGACTAAGGCTGGGAGTGGGTCACGGTGTGAAGACCCTGTGGGAGGGCTCTCTCTCTCTCATAGAATAAATAAATAAACTTAAAAACAGAAAAGGGAAGGGAAAGGAAGGGAAGGAAACCAACCTGTGAACCTGTGTATCGTCAGTTCTCACCACAACACTCTGGGGGCTCAGCCCCCCACTTACCCTTTCCCCTGCCTCCCCATTTGATCGAATCCATCTGTCCTAATGCTCCACTTGGGCCCAGCGTGTGGAGTTGCTCCTCCCCACCCTGCCCGTGGCCCAGAGAGGCCCCCCCTCCACTTACTGGCGTTCTCTGCCAGGACAGGCACCAGGCCGCACTTGCCCGCCACGTAGATCAGTCCCCCATCCATGCTCAGGGCGTCGGCGTCTCCCTTCTGCAAAGGCAAAGCAGCAGCCCGCACACGTGAGCCGCGGCCGTCCCGTCCCCCAGGCCCTCCGAGAGAATGGCTTTATGGCCGTGTCCAGGGAAGCAGGCTGTCTGACCCCTGAGCACTTGAAGGGACACCGGCCCCAACTGCTTCTGTGTCACCCAGCGCAGGTGGCACTAATTCTCTGTCCTCTGCATAAAACCCTTGCTGTACTCCAGGCACTTCTGGGACACCCTCCTGGGTCGGCCTCACTCACCAGGTGACAGGTGGGGACCCTGGCCTCATCAGGTCCCCACACCTAGCTCATGGCACCCCACTCCTCGTGCCCCATGGAAGTGCTCCGGCAAATGAGCTGGCACCATTCCACTGGCTCACAGGCGGATGACGGAGCTCAGACCCAGGCCGTAGCCTTGTGGTTAAGAGGCCCAGATCCATCATGGCCAACCGCACAGTTCAAATCCCGGTCCCAGCAGCTTGAAACACCTGTCAGGCATGTGTGTGTGCATGCCCCGAATCCCAGAAGGATGGAGAAATGGAGGAGGTGAGTGCGACGTGACCACGCCCCACGGGGGGTGCCTTCTTTCTCCCTCTCTGTCTCTCTCTGCTGTTTGAGCACACATGTCCTCTGGCCATTTAAAACAAATGAGGGGCCGGCAGAGAGCACAGTGGTTACCTCGCTGGACTCCTACATGGCCAACTGCAGTTTGAGTCCCGGACCCAGTGGCTTGAAATTCACCCCAGGCGTGTGTACATGTGTGTCCAAGAACCCGAGAGGAGAATGGAGGAGAAGGGATTGCAGCATGGCCATCCCCCTGCAGTGTGATTCCTCACTTTCCCTCTCGCTGTCTCTCTCTCTCTCTCTTCAGTGAGTACATGCTCACTAAGGCAAAAACCTCTGACAAAACAACGAGGAAGAAGCTGACACTCCAACACAGGAGCAGATCCCTCAAGACTGCGAAACTCTGAGACCAGCAGGTGGTGTAATATTTATGTCACTGAATTCCCAGGTACACGGCTGCAGACGGAGTCCCAGACCTGGCGGCTTAAAACATGCTGGGCGCATGTGCGTGGGCACCCAAATCCTGAGAGGTGACTAGAGGAGAAGGGACTACGGTGTGGCCATCCCCCCTTTCTGTTTGTCTGGTGAGCGCACACACCCTATAGCAAAAATCTCAAAAAAAAAAAAAAAAAGCACTGCAAAACAGCAACTAAGTGGAAACTGATAGGAGGACGTGCACGAAATGTTCTATTCCAGATGGTACCACAGGGTTAGGGTCAAAGCAAGGACAGAGAGGAACAGTCGTGACCCAACTGAGCCTCCTCCCCACAGGGGACACCTGCAGCCGCTTTTCGTAAACGCAAGAAGTGTCCCGTGGGAAAACGCCCATGACGTGCTGTTAGTGAAAGGGCCCAAAAACTCCGTAGGAGACACGCGCCAGCCCCTGCACGCGCCCTGCAGGACAGAAACCCAGCTGAACTGCACCTGCCCCGCCCTCTCCGTGAGGCCACAGGGGCTTCTGAGGGCCCTTTCGGTTTGATTCGTTCTTTCCATGCCTTTCCATGCCTTCCGAATTACTTACCATCACCAGTTATTCTCCCGTGCACGAAAATCCACTCGAGTGCTTTCTAACCCTAACCCTGACCCGCCTGCACTGCTGCAAGCCCCACGCGCAGCCCCTCCGCCCTGCCCCCAGATCACTTGAAGCAGACGCCCCAACTGGGCCTCCGAGCACCCGCCGCCC